AAGGAGGTGCTAATTTAGTCTCTGCCTGAGGCTACCCAGCAGGTGCTATGGAGAGATCTGCAGATTCCTCTTCTTTGTTTGGGGTTTAGAAGTGCCCAGATGAGGCCCAGCTGTGAAGCAGTGCAAGCTGCTGTGTGGCCTTGGGCCTTCTTTTGGATGTTCTGGGTCTCTCTGACCCAGCTGCAGTTTGTTAGGTAATTTTAGATTGCAAAGGGCCAGGCCATTCATATGCAAAAGCCTCTGCCACAGCTTGGGTGGGGCGGGGTCTCAGGGAATCAACAGGGCGGAGCAAACAGCTATGGCTGACCCTCAGCCCTGCCCTAAGAGGCCCTGGGTCTCAGTGTCCCTTGGTAATCGCTGCAAGCACCTCTGAGAGAAAGCCGCCCTCGAGTTCCGCCCGCTGCCAGCCAGTCCTGTTTCTCCCCGTATGAGTCTGGGTCCCCAGAGACTCGCCTGGAACTGGAGTTCAGAGCAGTCGAGAGCTTGTGACTCCCTCCCAATTTAAAAAGACAACCGTGTCCTCAGTTGCCAGCCCTTTCCACGTGAGCCTCTGTACCTCTGCTCTTTATTTCCGCATCTCCTCTGAGTTTCAGTGTGCTTTTCTCTTTCCACCTTGTGAGCTTAGCTGAAATTCCTTGAGAGTTATTCAAGAATGCCACCATGCTGGCCCAGGCTGGCTGCCACTGACAGAACCCTTAGCCATAGAAGAATGATTTTCTAAAGAGAAAATAGAAAGGTTATTGGGTGTTCTTATATCCAGTTTTTCCTTAGTTTTAGCTAAGCCATATACATGAAAGTAGATACTTCTTGCTACATTATACTTTATTTGTACACATCTGATATACTCTGAGCCCACAGTGGCCCCACTGAAGGGAGCCGGTTTGTGGGAGGTAGACAAGAAGCCAGATCTGGGTCTCCTGTAGCCAGAGCTAGTATTCCATGTTTAGGATACTCAAAGATGGTAAAGCTTAATGCTGGCATTACTGTGCTGTCATGGAGAGCATTAGTCATCTGCTTTTCTTAAGTGGATGCTCACACCAACTTAATGTTGCCCACAAACCTAACAAGGGTGTATTAGAAAGTTTGGGTATATTTTCAAAAAAGGTGTTTCATGATTATTATATTAAGATCATTCCACCTTACCGCAGTTTTAGGATGCACTCATACATTTGCAATTATTCTTTTTTTAGAAAACATATTTTTATTTATTTCAGAGAATAAGGGAGAGGGAGAAAGAGATAAAAACATCAATAATGAGAATCATTGATCAGCTACCTCCTGCACGCCCTGTTCTGGGGATCAAGCCTACAACCAGGGCATGCTCCCTGACTGGGAATTGAACAGTGACCTCCTGATTTATAGATAGATGTTCAACCACTGAGCCACACCAGCAGGGCTGAGATTATCCTTGATTTTAGTTATTTGATATTGAATAATTCTTTATAGAAGAAAAAACAAGTTAATGAGGTAAGTAACAGATAGATGGTGTCTTTTGGCTAATTTCAGAATTAGAGTGAAGGTTAGAGGCTTAATTTTCTGGTGGAAAGTATCTAACCTTTGTTTTAAGGGATTCCCCCCCCCCCCTTTAAAGTAGTTTACATGTGTTATTTAATTTAATTCTTACCATAACTGTGTAATAGTCATCTCCAATTTGGAGCAGAGAAAAATAAATCTTTTGACATTAAGTCCAACAGTGATTACTAGTTTATTGGTTACTTCAAGAAAGCCTTATTTCAATGTTTTTCCTTGACAGATACACTCTCTGTTCTAACTTTATATACGTGTATTTATTCTAAGGGAACTATAGTTTTTATAGTTGTTTTTAGTCACGATTTTGTCAAGAAAGTAATGCAAATAGTGTGTTTTAGTCAAGGACAATAGGTACATGTGTATCTGTGTGGTGCATGTACTTTTAAGTATTTATGGAGTGTAAGAGTATAATAGTAGTTCTATATAGTAACAGTCATTGTGTGTTTTTTAAACTTTCTAAGATTTCATTTCTGTACAAACAAGTGTGAAATTATTAGGGCCAAAATACCAATGTTTGTCTTTCACTCACTGTATCTGCACTTCATAAAAATGCTTAAATATTACTTCATCATCTTTAAATTTGCTTTTCAGAATGTGAAATCTGTGAACTAATTCTTGAATATTTATGGAGTAACCCTGATTTTTGCAGGTGTTGCAAGCCCTTAGGAATATTCAGCTTAATTTGGAACAGTATTCCCTATTTTTTGCTCGGTCTTTCATTTTTAAAAACCAAGTTACAGTAAATCTATCTATGTATAATCCTTTTGAATCTTTCAACAGTAGCTTGGTTAGGCATACGTGTTCTCATAGTGCATGCTATCCTGATTGAAATGCAAAGAGAATTGTTTTACGGATAGTATATATCACTATGTAGATGTTACGTGTCCCTGCAGTAACATTTTTGTTTTATAGAATGCTTGGTTAGGGTCAGTAGTCTCAGTTAATAAAAAATGAACTAATAAAGGATACTGTCAACTATAAAATAAAATAAAATTTAAAAAAATTAGAACAGAAACAAGTAAAAGAGAAAACAAGTACAATAGGAAAAAACAATAAAAAAATAATACTGTTTCTTAACATTTTTTGTTGTCATTGAGCAGATTATTTTATAGTGTCTATTTATATGAAAGTTGTCCATTTCTAAAAAACACACGTATAAGGTCATTAATTTAAAATACTTTGTAATATGTTCATGGTGGTATGATCATGGTGATATGCTGCCAGTTGAGAGTTGAACAAGGTGGAGTTTAAATCTTTTATGCTGACTTATGTTAGTCTTAGGTGGTTTAAATTTCCTGTTCAGCAGCTTTGTGCCTATAAAATTATTTGCCTCAGAATTAGTAGAGCAGGCATTTGGGTGATGATCCAGTGGGATGCCACCATACCTGCTTCTCAGAGTAGGGTTCATGGACCAGCAACATGAACTGGGAGGTGGTTAGATATACAGTCTTGATCATTCCCAGATTCCTCCATCAGAATCTGCATTTAAACTATTGCACTTATACATTTGCAATTATTCTTTTTTTTTTAGAAAACATATTTTCCAGATGGTTTGTATCCGTCTGGGCACATTAAAGTTTGAAAAGTCCTCCTGTAGACGACATAAGACTTGGCATCTGGACAAGAAACCAACATTTCTGTATCTGAGGTTGCAGGGATATAAATATTTAGGAATTATTTCTTAGAATAAAGAAACATAAGTTAGAAATACATTTCTCTTTAGGGTTACTCATTTACTTTGATACTTTCATCTTATTCACCAAAAAAGATAAACTTGATTTCATCTGTACCAAGTGAGGAAACCTGGCTATTGTTAAGTCTTCCCCTAAGAAGTGGCATCCTCTGAATTTGAATGAAATTGAGTTTTAAGAAAAGGAGATGGAAGACTGTGGCCCAGGCATAGCATAAACCATCACTCGCTAGGCTTGTTTTGTGACGTCAGGGATGCAGACATGCTTTATTCCATCCTAATTAATGAATAAGTATGTCCTGAATGTCTGCCATGTGCAAAGTGAAACAGAGTGGATCAAACCTTTCCTCAGAGAGTTTACAGTCAGGACCGGGAACTGTCCTTGAAAGTCAGGCAACCTGTCACCGGCAGAACCAAGGTATGTTGGGATATGGCCTTGTGGACCCATTGGCAAGGCTTCTCCCACCTATGAATGGAGAGTAGGAATACAGCACTCATTTTAGTCAGTTATGCCTTTTCCATCAAGGTATGTACTATTATATCAGGGGAATTAGAATTCAGAGCAAGAACCAAAGAAATGCAAATGCCTAGATGTACCTTCTCCTAACAGACTTAATGTAATATTTGTTGTGGCATACTCTGTCTCTAAATTTTTCAGTTTACTTTAAGGAAAAATCTTTTGCTTGCATTCTGCTTCAGTTATTTCAAAACTCCCTTCAATTTTGCTCAACTTCTGAGGTGGCTGTAGGAGCTCATTGACTTTTCTGGGGATTTTATTTCAAAACTTCTTAGTGAGGGATCCCTCCGTACAAATGAAGTCTTGCTCAGGAGTGTGAGCATAAACCACACGGGAGGAGGGGCTGTTCTTGTTGAACCTGCCTATGTCTAGCTCTTTCATGTATCCTTGAGGGTGGGGATGAGGATAGGGGTCTTGAGTTCTAGAGCACAATTGGAAACCAGTGTCCTAGTATTAAGAACACCACCAGGACTGCTATTATTTTAGAAAAAAGATATATTTTTTCATGACACCTTTTACGTGCTTCCCTTCTTTCTGATTTTTATCCTGTAATACGAAGTTTTTCTATCTTGCACAGGTGACCCAGAAATCTTCAAGATAGGAAGTCAGCTGTTTGTAGTCACTACATGTGAAATGCGTTAAGCATGTGGGACCTGGGACAAGACACAGAAACACAAAGATGCTTCTCAACAACATACACTTTTCTGACATGCAATTGGCAAGCATATTGCTAGAGCAGAGATGGGGGCTTGCCATAAAGTTTCTCAAAGGCAAGAACTATAAAAGAAAATTATAGCATAGTATAGTATACTTTGAAATTATAAATACCATTCTTTACATTTTTTTGTGCTAACTCTATTACTTACTTTTAGAAATTTGTATATAATTTCAAAACACTAATAATGGCATTTCACTTATGCCACAGATCTTTTCCTCTGCAAAATCTCAATTATGAACTTAACTCTTGAGGCTAGGAAGGCACTGTGTTATATTTTAAATATTAAAAACTTTTCCCTCCCTTAGAAAGGCATATTAGGCTTATTATGAGAAAAAAAGCTTTTGTTTAGGATTTTTCAGTGGATAATACATTTTGTCTTGAACAGGATTTAAATGGCAACTTGATAATAGAACACTTTAGGAGATTGCTGAATGTTTCACTTAAGGATTAGCTCAGATTTTATGTCACGATTTTACTAGAAATTATTATGTAGTCATATCACATTGTGACACACCATGCTTAGTGAATGCTCATTTGTTCTGCAGGAGAACGACTCAGGCACTTTGGACACAGTGGGCGCTGTGGTTGTGGACCACGAAGGGAACGTTGCTGCTGCTGTCTCCAGTGGAGGCTTGGCCTTGAAACATCCAGGGAGAGTTGGGCAGGTGAGTCGTTGGGTCTTTAAACTAGCTTTACAAGTTAAAACATGGCATTTTCTAGCTCACAAATCTTAAACTGTAGAGACCTTTTTTCTTTAGAAAAAAAATATTGTTCTTTAACATTTTTGTAGTATAAATCATTAATCAAAAACTTTTTACGATTCTTTCTAAAAAAAATTCTCATAGTAGTAGGGCTCTTTTGGTAATCCTGTGTTTTACTACTTTGGACAGGCTGGGCACATAGTAGACGTTTAATAAATGCGTGTTGATTTCCCTTTTCTTTCTTTGTAAGTGTCATTTTTTTTAGGAGCAAGCTCTACCTGTCTATTATTACTGCTTGCTTTTTAGGTGGGAAAATGATTTTAGAGTTACATTTTGTGTTTCTTCCATTCAAGGAATATTTGACCCTCTAAATTGCTCCTCTGATTAAACATTTCAGCTATTTTATAGACTAACCAGTATTTCAGGTTACCACATATGATACCATTCAAGAAATCTGTTTATGAGGAGGGTCTAATGTATGTGCAACTGGCTTATTTCCAGTTCACTTGCACATCTTCGCCCTTCCCCCTCCCCTTGTCTCCTATCATCAACCTCTAGGGCTATACTGAGAATGAAATTTAGCAGTCTGTTTGATCTATGAAGCTTTCTGAGTATAAACCAATTTGGCACATTGCTTATAGGCTTAATAAATATTTGTTAACTGAACAAATGAATTGGACACCATCATGGAATCTCTTAAAGTAGTTGCAAGGATGTGGTTAAGCTCAGTATTTGGATCTTGTGTTACATGTAGAGCACTACTTGGCTGCTCTTTCACTTTGTTTCTCATGTTTAAAGAAGAGTCGATGCCACAGTTGCTTTGGACATGGTGGTTAGTGAATGCTTGAAGCAGAGTGATCTGATTCATGGAGGACATCTTTGCAAAGCCTCAAGTGTTGTTCCCTAATCTGCGCTTTATTGTGCATAAACTACTTGTGGTCCTATGGGGGAAAAGGGAAGGGAAGAACAATTAATTTTGTGCAATTCTTTGTCTACTTTAGAAGAGGATTTATGGGGAATGATTACTCAACATGTGTACAATGCTTTGAACTCATTATAAAAAGCCTTTGTCTGGTCATGGTATTTTTCCACATTATAAAGTCCTGTGTATTTGTCGAGTTTGGAATAAGAAAACCAAAGTTGGCATATCAGTTTTGGATGGCTTGGTGGAGAAGGAGAGAGAAAAGCCAGCAGAGCCCCCTTCATAGCTTTGCAATTCCCATGACTTTCTCACTGTTTTTTTGTTTGTTTTGGTTAGCAAAATAGCAACAACTGAACCAAGGATAGTTCTGGACTGTGTTAGTAGGATATTACATCAAATAGTCTTGAAGCCATTCTGTCACTGCAAACGGGACTCTCCTGCATAAAGAAATGCTTCTGTAAAACTTAATGTTTATTTGCTCCACTTGGCGAGTTTATGAATGCACAGTTTGTGAGAGATGAAAACTCAGGAAAGGGTGTGGAGGAGAGGAGTCAAGGTACTTATAGCAAAATACAGTTGCTTAATTGGATTATATTGCTTGGAAAAGGAGATGTAATTTGCCTCGCCTGGAAATATGTAAGCATCAGACGAGAGGTAAAGAACTGTTCTTCTTGATAATCAGGACAGAGTATGACAAAATACACAAGCAAATTATTATTTAAATGTGCTAAAATTAGATACTTTTAAGTACATTTAAATGTACAAATGATTTAAAAATTTTAGCATATTACCCTTCTTTAGATATAAAATAACAGTTCAGACAGTAAAATGGCAATTTGAATGAGAACTTATTTGCTTCTTCAGTTTACTGTAATAATTAGATTTAGAACTGGGACATGAGCACGGAATTTATTATATTCTTCGCCTCCCTTATACCTCCCCCCTACTCAAATACAAATAGACAGTTGAGTTAAGTGGAATGGTTCAGAGTATGGACCTTTAATCTAATTCTACCTTTCCATTTACCAGTCTCCTTACTGTGGACAATATTCAGTGTCTTTAAGCTCTACTTTCCACAACTATAAATGGGGACATTTTTTTTTGCTTATTATTAAAACAGCTTTATTGAGATATAACTCACATACCATACAATTCACCCATTTAAAGTGTATAACTCAATGGTTTTTAGTATGTTGACAAGATGTGTGCCACCATCAGCACATTCAGTTTTTTATCCAAATCATCTTTTATGTTTCTACATTAAAGATTGCTACCTTACAAAGTTCTAGAAAATTAAATGACATAATGCATTAAATTACTTATCATAGTCCCTCATGATAACAGCTATAGCCATTGTTTATGCTATGTGTGACAGGCATGTTAATTCACATGATATTACAGCACTAAGAGGGGGTGTTTTTATTATCCTCATTTTATAAAAGAGGAAACTAAAACTCAGAGAAGATTAAATAATAATAATAGTAATTTAATTTATATGACCTACTTTTACTACATGATAATAGCTTTAATAAAATTTTACTACTAAAAAGAAGGAAACTTTTAAAATTGTTTATTTTAGGCCTGCTTAAGGTTGCTGTGTTTTATCTAAATAAGTGGATAAGAGAGACAATCTCTGATTCTTTAACTTACCTGTTTGTATCTCAGCCCAAACAATTTCAGAAAGTTACAAAATAAGACAACTTTAGGTCATAAAATTGAAACTAACCCAAAGGGAATTTGCTTAGAAGAAAAAAGAGTAAGAATAAATGTTCTGGGTTTCTACGAGGTATCCTTGTGCCTTATTTATTGTGCGCGCGCGCGCGTGTGTGTGTGTGTGTGTGTGTGTGTGTGTGTGTGTGTGTGTATGTGTGTAGGGGGAATGGAAGGACAGTGGGCTCATGTCCAGGATTTTCAGTGAAGTTCTCCTGAGGTCATGTGTTCTCTGAGGCTTTGGCTGACCCAGCACCTGTCCCAGGCAGTGCCAGTTGAATGGCTGATCTCACAGTCTGCCAGTTTTCTTATGAAATCCATGTGCCGAATCCCTTCTGTAGGCTTTCAGTTGCCACTCTGACCAGCCGTCTTAGGTATTTAGGAAGCATGGTGTTTTCAACGGCAGTAATGTCTTCCTACTGTCTGCTCTATTGGAAGTGTTGTGTTCAGTTCTCTGTTTAACTTTTTTTTTTTGCTTATTATTAAAACAGCTATATTGAGATATAACTCACATACCATACAATTCACCCATTTAAAGTGTATAACTCAATGGTTTTTAGTATGTTGACAAGATGTGTGCCACCATCAGCATATTCAGTTTTTTATCCAAATCATCTTTTATGTTTCTACATTAAAGATGCTTTAATGCAATTCCTACAGAGGATGCTTTTCTGATTTAGTATGAATTTTCTTTTTAACTTTCAGATTTTTTTCTTTATTGATTAAGGTATTCACATATGTGCCCTTATGCCCCCGTTGCCTCTCCCTCCCACCCCTGCTCGGGCCCTCACCCCCCTAGTGTCTGTGTCCATTGGTTATGTTTATATGCAGGCATACAAGTCCTTTGGTTGATCTCTCCCTCTTCCCCCTCTCCTCCCCTGCCTTCCCTCTGAGGTTTGGGGGTCTCGATCAGTTTTACTTTTAAGAGGGCTATATTCATGACAACTGGGGATGGCAACTGTGGGTCACAAGACTTCATCTCCAATTTTCCTTGGTTTTGTATTATTTCTCAAGGAGGGTGACTAGGAGAGTGGGGTGTGTGTGTACATTTTAAAGTGTTGAGGAACAGTTCACAAATCTAGTATTCTTTGAGTGAGAAAAGAATAATCAGGGCCCTAGGATAGCTGTTTTTAAAACCAGAAAACAGCTTTAGGAGGAGGTTAATGCATTTCCAAAGAATAGAACTAGTACTAGTGGGTGGAAGTTATGATAGAGCAGATATTCCTATGCAATTGAAGGAAGAACTTTTCGCCAATGGGAAGTGTCCAAAAGGGGGATATGTTCCCTTATGAGATAGTGAGCTTCTCAGATTCAGAAGTGTCTGGGATATTTCATGGAGATTCCTGCTCTTGGTAGAATATTAGAGCAAATGAGCTCTGAAGTCCTTGTGAGAAAGAATAGAATGTTATAGAAAGCTAAAGTTTGGTCACCATTGCCAGTCTTCTTCGTCCAGTCCTCAGAAGTGAGCTCCTAGAAAAAAACAGTACTATTTTATGGGAATATCTTTTTCCTCCATCAATCAATCTGGATGCTGAATGTGTTGTCGCAGCTTACCTCTTTCTTCTTTTTTAGGAACTAATTTAATTTTTTTTGAAACTTTGCATTGAATTCCACATATTGCTATGCCAGTTTAGCCATTTCCTTACTGATTGACATTTAGGTTGTTTTCAGTTTTTCATTCTCACCGAACATGTGCTATTGCACATTGTTGTATTTCTCTAGGTAGCTATTTAAGGTTTTTTATAAATCTGTTTCTAACTAAGGAGTGGAAAATTATCAGATGTGATTTTCTTTCTAAAGGTAGAGAAGTGGTTGTGGATATTGAAGAGATGTATCCAGACATTTTGGGTAGCATTAATTGGAAACAAAATAGAAATGATTGACCCATCTACACTAATAAAAGAGAAACATGGTAATTAGCGTACGACCGCTACCCTTCCCATTGGCTAATCAGCATATCCTTATGCAAATTAACTGTCAGCCAAGATGGCGGCCGGCAGCCAGGCATAGAGCGTCGGCTGCGGATTGCTTCAGTGAAGGAGGACTCCATTCCGGTCAAGAGCATGTACCTGGCCGGCCTCTGAGCTGGCAGTAGGAGATGTGCAGGAGGCAGCTGATCGATGTTTCTTTCTCATCGATGTTTCTAACTCTCTATCTCTCTCCCTTCCTCTCTGTAAAAAATCAATAAAAAAATATATTAAAAAAAAAAGTTATTACCTTAAATAGGCCCCTTTTTCTCTTTTCTTTACACCTGGCAGAATCTAGCATGGTGGTGAGCATATCCTGGGCCCTTTGGTACATAATTGTTTGCAGTTCCTATTGTGCCACCCAAGGGAGGCATGGAAAAGCTCCTCCTCAGTGGGGTTTCCTAGAGCATGGCAGAAGGACCACTGGCATCCCAGCCTTCCAGGGCCCTGGTGAATGAAGCCGATTCCTGGCCTCGTCCCCAGACCACCGACCGAGAGTATCTGGGAACCAAGGCTCCTGTCACCATGCTCCCCCCAAAATTTGATACACACCTAGTCTGAGAACCACTATTGTAATGCAACCATAATGATTTCAAGGGGCCAGAAGAGCAACTAGCTGACAGATTACAATGGGGGAAGATTTTTCAGGCGAAGAAAAATTACTGATGATAAAACTAAGAAACTTTCTTTTGCTATTTTCTGAAAATTTTTAGATTACTGTAATGGCTGAAAATACAGTTTTAATAGTGTTAGAATGTTATTTGGATAGGTTTTATGTAACCTCTGGTATTATTGCCCAGTTGTTATACATCATTACTAAATTTATTAGATGGGTATGATTTTGTCTTCTGTTGAAAGCCAGTAATTCCTTATAATATTTCTGTAATATTATATTTATCTATTTTCTTTTTCTCCAGGCTGCTCTTTATGGATGTGGCTGCTGGGCTGAAAACACTGGAGCTCATAATCCCTACTCCACAGCTGTGAGTACCTCAGGTATTTGCTGCTTTCATGGCCATTTTTCATAACTTCAACCTTGTAGGTCATTTAATGATTAAAAACTATTTTTATGTAAGCATGTGCTAAGACACTGCACAGACAAGAGCACCGATACATAAAAAATCTTTGATATTTGAAAGCTTTTAAGGACCATTTCACAATTTAAGTATCACAGTGTAAATGATTTCCTAACATTTCAACACAATTCTGGAGTTAACTATAACTTAATAATATCTTTATGGTTTTTTTTCTCTCGAATGATTCATGTTAGTGCCAAATTTAGATCACATATATAAAAGTAGCAAGGCATTTCAAAACTAAGATATTCTCTTGAGTAAAATGTTGACATAGTTGTATTTCAAAATGTATAATTTATGACATGCAATCCTCTGCACTTTTAATAAAATGTACATCTTCTTTTTGTACCTGTATTTAAAAAGTCATTATCATTTAGAAATGAGTATGTGTGTATGTGTGTATGTGTGTGTTTGGGGGGTGGTGGTGAATTTTAATAGCAGAATGGTTGGTGTCTTGATCCAAGTTTTTATGTGCTTGTGCCAGATGTACCGAAGCCTTTTCTTTTAATGTGGTGATATGCATGGTTGACAAAATAATATTGGTTTATATTGACAAAATCATATTGGTTTGCTTTTACCTATCAAGCTACAGTCCTAGGCCTTTCCTCCCATGACCTCAGGTTTTATTAGTAAGGAAGATTGATATGCCTGCCTCTCCTTCCATTCCCTCTTCAATCCAGTGGCCTTCTTCTCTTGATAACTCTTGACTCTTTCTGTGGTCTCTGATGTAGGTGGCTGTTTTCTGTCTGTATCATAGATTCTGGAATTTTTTTGGTTTGTTTTGCTTCTCTGACCTGCTCTATCTGCCTTCTTCACAGATTCTTCCCATTGCTGACAACTGCAGATTTGGGCCCCTGCTATCTTTCCTTCATCTCACTGTGTGCATTCTCTTGGTGGTTTGGTGTTATTGCTGTGTTCCATTTTAGCATTTATCTCTTAGGGTATTGGCTTCTACTCAGGACTTTTCCCTTGAGGCCCATGCGAGTCATTACCTACTTCCTGTTGGACATGTCCCTGTGAATGTCATGTATACATATCAAATTCAGCAGACTCAACAAAACATCTTGTTTCTTATTCCCTCTCTTTGGCCATCTTTCTCCTGTATTCCCCATCTCTTTTATTGCCATCACTGTTTTGTTCTTTGCTCAGACTTGAAATCTGGGTACCATTCTCATATACTATTTTTTTTTCTGCTTATCTGACCCTGTCATTTCAGGTCCACGTTATCCTGCTTGCCTATTGTAGCAAGCAGTCTCCTGACCTAGATTCATTCTTTTTTTTAAAAAAAATATTTTTCTTGATTTCATAGAGAAGGGAGAGGGATAAAGAGATAGAAACACCAATGATGAGAGAGAATCATTGATTGGCTGCCTCTTGCACGCCCCCTACTGGGGATTGAGCCTACAGCCTGTCATGTGCCCCTGCCTGGAATTGAACCTGGGACCCTGGTTCAGTCTGAAGGCCGGCACTCTATTCACTGAGCCAAACCAGCTAGGGCTAGATTCATTCCTTGTATCAGTGGAAAAATTAGACTGTCAGCCACTGGTCTATCAGGTGAAGTCCAAATGCAAATTAATGTTGAGTCTAAACCACAGTAATATAATTGGCAAAAAGTTGTTTTCAGTCTTTTACTTTTGAAGAGATGAGTATAATGAATTAATTTTTAATTTAATACGGTAGCACATGAAACCTATACACATAATATTTAAGAGTTAGCTTGTGCTCATAATTAAGTATGGCCCTATGTCTATGGAAAATTGTAGTATTTGAATAAACTAAAGTCTAAAATAGATAATTCATTATTTCCTCTTTATTTTCTTAAAGAAGTGTCAGTTTGTATTATCTGTCAATTTTATTGTTGGTTAGTGTGTTGTTTAGTAAGTTGGTTTGTTGTTCTTTAAATGTTACTCTCATGTCTAGATGGTAGGAAACCTAGATTCTACATTTAAGCTGAAATTCTGAGAGCCTGTGTGTGTCATGTTAGAAAATAAATTCAATTTCCTTGGGATATTGCACTCCCTTCCTTCCTTTTTTAAATTGATGATATGGAAGTTAGGATAACAACACATTTACTGGATTTGATTCTGTTAAGTAGGTGGATAAAGCTAAAATTGTAAAATTAAGGTATTTTCCTCTTTCTCATGGCTATTTCCTTCTTTGCCCAAATTGGATTAATTGAAGATAGTTTCATATGACTAAAGTTTAGGTTTCCAGTTCATGACATCCATTGTAGCTTTTTAACTTGGATGCCCAGCTCATCGTGTTACATCCATCCCAAGTTAAGACTAACCATCATCATCCCGTAGAACCTGACGATATTAGAGCAGGGCTGCTGTTCCTTCCATCTGTGGGACTTCGTGTGATTTCTTTACCCTTATTTTTTCTAGGGCTGTTGCTATGAGGTTGACAATGGAAACACATGGTAGAGTTGGGTGTTCAGGTCATAAGAAAGGTGGAGCACAGAATTTTGCAATTGTTTGGCCAAAATAAAAAAGACTTATGCCTTAGGCTGTTGCAGAAAATCCAAAGACCTGGCCTACATTTTAGGTTTATAGTTTTGGAAGGTGATACTTGAGAGGCAGAGGGAAGACAGTTAGTTATGGTCAGAGTAGGGCTCTCCCAAAGCCAGACAGGACATGGTCATTAGCCTGAGGGATAAACTCCAGCATCTTGCTCTCATCACTGGGTGGGGAGCAATGAGTAGGGGGGTAGGGAAGAGGTTAGGGTGGCAGGCGCTGGCTTTGCAAACTCTGACTAATGTTCTGGCCTCACGGAAATTTGCCTAGCTAGGGAGGAGCAGAGTAGATACTTGGGTCCTTGTTCAGACTCTTTTACTCATTGGCTGTGACCAGGGCAAGGGGTTATTTGTAAAACAGGAGTAATATCTACCTTAATATTTATGAGGATTTAATGAGTTGACATATGAAAGTTACCTAGCACACTTCTTGGTCCTGAGTAGTGGCTCAATATTTAACTGTATTTTGTTGAATATAAGTCACCATCTTTTATAATATGCACCACTATTAAAAAAAATACTAGTTGATTCCTTTTCTTAAATTGTGGTAAGTTTTTACCATTTTAGCCATTTAAAAAATCTAAGTATAGTTGGCATACAATTTTATATTAGTTTCAGGTGTACAACATAGTGATTTGACATTTATATACCCTACTAAGTGATCACCACAATAAGTCTAGTAATCATCTGTCATCGTACAAAGTTGTTACAATGTTCCTGACTACATTCCTTATGCTGTACAGTATATCCCCATTTCTTTTCTTTTTTTTTTTTTTTAATATATTTTATTGATTTTTTACAGAGAGGAAGGGAGAGAGATAGAGAGTGAGAAACATCGATGAGCGAGAAACATCGATCAGCTGCCTCCTGCACATCTCCTACTGGGGATATGCCCACAACCCAGGTACATGCCCCTGACCGGAATCGAACCTGGGACCTTTCAGTCCGCAGGCCGACGCTCTATCCACTGAGCCAAACCGGTTTCGGCTATATCCCCATTTCTTATTTACTTTATAACTAGAACTTTGTACCTCTTAATCCCCTTCACATTTTTCACCCATCCCCCTAACCTTCTTCCCTCTGGCAACCATCAGTTTGTTCTCTGTTTGTGAGTCTATTTCTGTTTTGTTTTGTCTGTTCCTTGATTTGTTTTTTAGATTTCACATATAAGTGAAATCATACATAATTGTGTTTTTCTATTTGACTTATTTCACGTAGCATAATACCCTCTAGGTCCACCCATGTTGTCGCAAATGACAAGATTTTATTCTTTTTTATGGCTGAATAATATTCCATTGTGTGTATGTACCATATCTTCCTTATCTGTTCATCTATCAATGGACGGACACCTACGTTGTTTCCATAGCTTAGCTATTGTAAATAATGCTGCAATGAACACAGGGGTACATATCTCTTTTCCTATTAGTGTTTTTATTTTCTTTGTGTAATTGCCCCAAAGTGGAATTACTGGGTTACATGATAATTCTGTTTGCAATTTTTTAATGAATTTCCCTATTATTTTCTATACTGGCTGTGCCAATTTACAATGGCACCAACAGTGCATGAGGGAAGGTTCTCTCTCTCTCTCTCTCTCTCTTTTTTACATCCCCACTACCATTTGTTATTTGTTGTGTGTTTTTTTTTCCATAATAGCCATTTAGACAGGTATGAGGTGATATCTTAAGTGGTTTCGATTTGCATTTTCCTCATGATTAGTGATGTTGAATATCTTTTCATGTGTCTGTTGGTCATCTGTATGTATTCTTTGGAGAAATATCTCTTTAGGTCAATGGTTCTCAACCTGTGGGTCGCGACCCCTTTGGGGGTTGAACGACCCTTTCACAGGGGTCGCCTAAGACCATCAGAAAACACATATATAATTACATATTGTTTTTGTGATTAATCACTATGCTTTAATTATGTTCAATTTGTAACAATGAAATTAGGGGTTACCACAACATGAGGAACTGTATTAAAGGGTCGTGGCATTAGGAAGGTTGAGAACCACTGCTTTAGGTCCTCATTTTTCAATCAGGTTATTTTTTTGATGTTGAGTTTTATAAGTTCTTCTTATATCTTGGATATTAACCCCTGATTGGATATATAATTTGCAAATACAGTTGTGTGCTACATAACAACCTTTCAGTCAATGATGGACACATATACAATAGTGATATGTCATATAGCCTAGTTATGTAGTAGGCTGTTTCATCTAGGTTTGTGTAAGTACACTTTATGAGGTTTGCACAATGATGAAGTCACCTAACATTGCAGTTTTCAGAATGTACCCTTTTCATTAAGTGGCATATGACTGTATTATCTCCCATTCACTAGATTGTGTTTTCATTTTGTTGATGTTTTCTTTTGCTGTGCAAAACCTTTTTAGTTTGTTGTAGTCCCCTTTG